CTTATTAGAGAATGCATAAATCCCAATTACATTGCTGCTTAATATCATTTAAAATGGGTCATTAATTATTTACTGACTCTGGTAGTGCATCCGACTCGACAGTTTATGATCGCCTGCCCGTGATCAGAAGGTCACTAGTTCAAATCTCATGACCAGCAAACCAAGAGCCTTAACCTCAGTTGCACCAGGGGTGCTGGACGCTGGCTGCCCCCACACTGTCACACCTGCATTTGCACGTGTCCATGGACAGCAAGATAGTTTTCCCCACGGGGAAAAAAGTTTCCCCCACGGGGATAAATTTAGGTCACTACTCTGTTCCATTAAAGGAAGCCTGAGATGACATGGCGGGCATTTTTCGTATTTCCTGAAATGATTAAATGGTAAGATGGTTTTGGGGGGGGGGGGGTGTGCCTGTCGGAGTGACTGAGAGCAGGTAGTTGCTGATGGATGTATGAAACGATGCACCCGAGTGTTAGACAGTTGCCAGAGGTGCAGGTGTACCGCTTGGAGGTTGTGGCCTAATATGAGACCATCATATGTCATCATCCATCTCACATTTTTTTTTCAACTGAAAGTATAAGGGCTATGTTGTTAGCTAAACCAAATTTGGTTTAGTCTATACACCTTGTGCCACACGGCTGAACTTCTTTACTGTTCTTTAACACCCACTGTTTTACCTCATCTATCATGTGACATAAAGGTGAAGGGTGGGGGACATGACTGTGGATGCGGTGGGCGATGTGTCACGTCATGATCCATTTACATTTGCATATCTTCATGGTTATGATGTTTGGGATGGATGACTGCGCTGCAGTCATGCTGTGGTGATATTTAAGTTCTGCTTACCAGTACTGACAGCCGACTGTATGTTCATTCACTTTTAAAGTGAAACGCTTCCACAAAATTGATGCTTTGGCTGTTTTATCTATCTGCTATGCAGTCTCCCATATTGCCAAGTAATCGGGAAGGAAATTTTTAATTGATGCTTTTTAGTAATCAAGTTTGAGTAATCGTGACACCTTTAGCGTAAACATTTTCAAATCAAAATTAACGGTACTTGAATAAAACACAGATATTTCCCCCCGAAATTCTTATTTGTATGTCACTTTGGACAAAAGCATCGGCTTCAAAAAGTCAATGCTTAGCACACAATACCAGGAAGGACAATTAACATGTTTGTTCCAGCGTACTGAATAATTCTGACCACAATTAGTTTCCGGCGTAGAAATCGACACGGCCTCTGATTTCAAAACAAAACACGGGTTTAACTATTTGCATTTTGCTGCTCGTCTATGACCTTTTAATAGTCTTCTCTTCTAGAAGTGGTTGAGTATTCACATGGCATTAAAGGTCATATAACATCAGTTTACAGATCTGCCAACTGATTACTTCACTGGCTCATAGATTAGTCAAAAAGAGAAATGAAAAGGAAATGCTCGACTGCAGCATAAAGAATGTGATTGTATATTTCATACTGGCAAACATTTTTTTGCCATCCCCATCCCCATCTGTAACACGTCAGAAAGTAACCTATCTCGGAGTATAGAGTATATATGGGGAGTGTGAATGTGTGTACGGCGTTCATTTCTGTGTGTCTCCATGTTGGGCGAATGGGTGAATATTTGTTTATGTGCGCATGAGGGTGGGAACTAGGGATGCACCGAAAATGCGAAACACCGCATTCGGTCTTCGGCCTTCGGCCAAGCATTTCATTATTATTCGGCTTCGGCTTCGGCCAAGAATTTCATTTCGGTGCATCCCTAGTGGGAACACATGCTTGTGTATGTGTACGCCTGTTTGTCTATACGCATGTGTCAGGTTGGGTCTTACACTCCACCTGGAATAACATCTCAGGCTCTGTTGCCCCCCCCCCAACACTCCCTGCCGGTGGATGAGGCCCCCGGCTGCCGATGCGTTGGGGGTTCTCAATGTCCGGGGCTGGATGCTCTGGTGTGTGCTGGCTCACTCTCGGCGGTTGCCTGCCGGGGCCTGGCCCTTCCGGCTGTATCGGGGCCCCGGCTGGGGGGTGGGGGGGCCCTTGGATCTCTGGGCCCGGTCTGCCCTGGTGTGGCCGGCCGCCGGCGGGGCCTGCGTGCTCGCCGCCACGGCCCCCAGGGGCTCCTGCGATGTGGCTGCCGGATGGCCCCCCTCCGGAGCGCTCCTCTGCCCTTTTCTGGGTGGGGGCTGCAATTGTCCCTACGGTGGTCCTCCTGGGGCTCCCGTGCCCTGGGGGGCCTCTGGATGTCTGGGGCCCGGGTCTCCTCCGTGTCGACTTCATGTCCTGGGTGGGCGGGGCTGTGGCTCCCCACACACACTACTAGACATTTACATGGAGAAACCTTAGGAACACCAGCGCGCTGACACACACAGGTGCTCACGGACACATGCTCACGGACACACACTGTCTTGATCGGCTGTTGCTTCTGGGCATGTGTTGTAATGCTGTTTGTGCGTGCTGTTCAACAACATTTAACGTTTGGTGGTCGTTGTGATTAGTACAGATGTCGTATGTTGTCTTTCTCTTTTCAGCAGATATGGAAGCAGATTATCTGTTTTGTTTTTTTTCTTTTCTCTCCTCTCTCTCCCTCTCTCTCTTTCCCCCTTCTTCTCCTTTGTTTCCCCCCTTCTCTCTCCCTCGCCTTCTCTTGAGGAAATAAATAAATAATAATAAAAATACTACTAATAAATAAATAAATAAATACAAATAAATAGAGTAGTCCTCCGCAGAGGGGGGGTGGTGGAGGGGGAAAAAAAGTGACCTATCATTGTGCGTTCCCCTGTGCTAATATTTTGTTGCAGTTTGTTTTATTTGTAAATGCTAGAAATGCATAGTATTTTATCAGTTCTATAGATGTGACATGAAACTGACAGATTATATTGGGAGACTACAAATTTTCTACAAATTCTGATAATTGTATGAACCATTTTTTTGTAACATGAAACAGACTTGAATGAACAAAAAGTATAGATTGCAAAGTAGAATTCCCTCAAAACTTGCATCTTTGTTTATTCATTAAAGCTGACCAATGGAATAAATTAAAATTATGATATACATCATATACATCATATATTTTTATGCATGGTGCCATTTGTGATCAGAGTAGTTATATAGTAGTTATATACAGTGAAAATATAGACATAACTAAATATTTTAAAAGCAGTTCTGTTCCTGTTCTTACATCCCCCCATGGTAGAGTTGCTGTTTGCACAGAATTTCCCAAATACATGATGATTTAACAATGACTTTTCTCTATATAGTGTTTTTGTTGCGAAAATCTACTACAGCACAGGGGCTTTTTAAGTCAAGTTTAGTCATGCTTGACGGTTTTTTTTTTTTTTTGGAAGATTGGCATCAGGGTTGAAATACTCGGGGCTGAAATACTCGGGGCTTGGCTTAATACTTGGGCTTTAGCTCTGACTGATCGGCCCTAATGATGCCCATGGTTCAGCATCGGTGTCTTTGATGTGTAGGAGAGTAACAATAATGTGTCCTTCACTCGCAAATGTTCACGTTTGTGAGGATCTTCTGCCACCACACATGCAAATGTAAAGGAGTACTTTATGTTGAAGTGTGTGTGTGTGTGTGTGTGTGCGTGCGTGCGTGCGTGCGTGTGTGCTTGTGTGCCTATACATACACAGACACTAATGGCCAAAATTGTGGAACCACTTCCAATTTTTAGAGATTGTAGAACTTTATTCAACTGTTGCTCCAGTTACTTATTTAATCATCCTGTGTATGACCTTGCAAATGTATGATAACATGTGCTGATGTTATACAACATAATTACCAGCAATGAAATTCTTGGACTCCAGGCCATTTCTCCGTGGCACCTCAAAGACTGGTGCTACACGGTCGGCACACTGGTTAATTGGTCATTTCCACAGCTAAAACGGAATCTATAGAGAAATTTTGTAACTTTTGGGTTAATAATCTGAAACATTTCATGTAGCTGCAGATCAGATCTGCACAACACATAGGAGATACTTTGGCCACAAAATTGTTACAGTCCGATTTTAATATTTAAAAAAATGTATTATCTATGTTTTGGGGCAAATTTAAGATGCCACTTGGCCTAACTGCATTACTATGGGTAAATGATTAGACGACGGATGGTGGAGATGATACTTATCTCGCAAGAACAGCTTACATCAGACCATAGAGCAACATTTCAGCAGGTGCAGGCACACTTGGCCATTGCATAATGCAAAATTGCCTTTAAGTCATTTTGTGGTACATTCCTCATTTAGGTCTGGTTGTGGACTCGTGAATATGTGTCTCAGATATTTGTAACTGGTGAGGTACTGTCTGCCTGGCTTACTGGTGTGTGCGTATGTGGGCCCTTCCTGCATTTTGATATTCTTCTGAAATTCCTCTTCATTGGTCCAGGGCATTTTCCTTGGGCTTGCGTTTTTCATTCTGACAGATTGATTGCTTATATGATGAGCTTGCAATAAATATTAAAATACACTTCTCTGTGTTCCTTGTTAAATTAGATTGCATTTGTGTTTGTCCACCGTCGTAATGAAGATGAAGATTGACCCGACACATTAGCAACAATTAATGTTTGTTTTCATTGCTTTCGTTTTGTCACCGGCGTGTTTGGCTGCCAGTTCGGCTGCTGTAGTTTATTATTAACGGTCTGCGTCAGTGTCCATTTGCCGTTCCCTGATCAGCAGAACTTGCATGCAGTCATCTTTTTCTTTGTCCACAAGAATGCCTTCATAGGTTGCTGGGGTGTAGGCTGTCCTGTCTACTGTGTACCTCTGAACGCCATAAGGTTAACCTTTTTGTTAATGAGTCTGGCATGAAATGTCAGTCCACTCTACTCATGTCTCTTGATTTGATATGATTTGGCTGGACACACTACACCAGGTGGGGGTGAGGATCATACCTCGTTGGTCATGTGACTTGGTTTCTGGTTAGATTTTCACCAGAAGAACTGTTTGTTTGACAAGAGAATGTTAACCACGGTCTCTGGGCCTTTTTCTCATTGCTGCAGGTTTGCGAAGAACCTTTCTCCAGACAAGATCAATCTGAGCACTCTGAAAGGGGAGGGCCAGCTGACCAACCTGGAGCTGGATGAGGAAGTTCTGCAGAACATGCTGGACCTGCCCACCTGGCTGGCCATCAACAAGGTGTGCTGCAACAAGGCCGCCATACGGGTAAGCCACGCCCACTCCCCCTCATGAATCTTCATCCTTAACCTGGCGTCTTTTCTCATCATCCTCGATTATGTAATTCTGCCACGTATGCAGTGTTGAGGCAAGGAACTCTCGTAGTAATGGGCATTGTTAATTTGTCATGGCAGGTTCAAGCGTGATGAAGGAGAATCTTTTAGCTCCCTCATCTCATACCGCCTCCCTCAACTTACTCTCTGTAGAGTAAGCTGTCTGCGAAGGGCAGCCACCTGTTGGGCTGCCCAGGGAGCTGGGGGTTAAGGGCCTTGTTCAAAGACCCAATTGACTGCTGTCATGTTGGAGGGTGCGAGGTTTAGGAGAAAAGATACGGCATTGTCTCTCTAAGCTGAACCATTCACAGGAAATGGTTTGCCCTAGTTTTGCAATTGAAGGTGTTTGCACATGGGAGGACATAGAAAAATAATGAATGTAATATGTACGAAATCAAAAAATAAACAGCAGAACATTCACATTTTGACCTTCACAACTATTTTTCTTCCTGGTGATGATCTGAAATGGATCATTCTGGTTTTCCAGGAGAATGGCCTTTTATAAATTAGCAAGAGGGCTGAACTGTGATTACAAAATATAATCAGCTGTGATCATATCTTCAGTGACGTTAAAAGAACATCATTCAATAAAAGAGATCCCTGTGGGGGAAAAAAAGCCAGAAGGCTTTATTTCATTTTCAGGCATCATTTATTTTACAGATATTTACAAGATAACCTTAAGATACCTAAGTAATCAATGTTTATGGCTGAGTAATCTGGCATGGCATCTTGAAGGATTTATCTATTTTAAGTTCAGGCCTTTAGATCTGTTTTCAGGTTCCCCTTCTTGGGGGAAGTCTTTAGGTTTCCTTATCTCCTTGCACTCAGAGCTGTCTCAAGCTCTTCCCCAGCGGTTTGAGCGTAACTGTGTATCTGTCTGGCGTTGCCCCAGTAACCCAGGCCAGAGATGCGTGGCTCCAGTTGTGACGAATCCAAAAATCGACTCTGGGGTTTTTTCTCTCCCCCCATCCCCTCAAGACAAGGGCCGCACTGACACAGCCTGTGTCTGTCCTTGAAGAAGCTGTATGCTGCCGGAAGAACCCCTGTGTGAAGGTGGTCTGCAGCGCCCTTGAATCGTGCACATCGCGTTTGTTGTCACTGCACAGAAACCCACTGTGAGGGTTTCTGTGTTTCAGAGTTCGGTGTTTCCCTGCTGTGGTCATGACGCGCCGTCCCTGTAGATCCCCACAGTCGGTTGTAGTTTGTTTAGAAGTCTCTCTATAAATTGTTATCTCCAATATGTTCTTAAAAAAGAAGAGGGACCAATAGTTACATACTGTGGCTGCTTGTCACAGAATAAACCACACAACTGAGTTAACAGGGTGAAGTGGAAGCTTGTAATTAATTAATATACACCTATATATATATGTAGGTGTATATTATAATATATATAATATAGCATCCTAGCCATTGTCAATAATCTAATGTATTAGCTAACTTGGCAAGCTAATAATAATAATAATAATAGTAATAACAATTATAACGATTATACTGGTAAAATTAGACACGCGAAATTTAATGAAAGCTGAAAACAATCAAACTAAAGCACAACAAATTGCTTACATGTGGCTGTGTTGCGCTATTTTCGTGATGCTGTTCAAATTCCGAGGACATTGTCAAACGCTGAGCTACCCAAGGATAATAGAAGAAAGATGAGTCAAATTCGTTAAATATCGACCGATGGTTCGAGGACTGGGGAAATATCGTAAAAACGATAATTGTTCTACAATTCACTAAACGAAATAATCAGTTCTGTAATAGAATTCAATAATAAAAATATTAACAGAAAATCTTTGAATGGAAAAACTTGATTTACTTTTATATATTTTATGTCGGGTGACAGACAGTTTCCGGAATGCTGACAGGACAGGAAACAGCCAATCAGAATTATTTCAAGTCTGCGATTGGCTGGTTTTGTGGCACTTTTGTAACGATGACAAGAGACACACTGTGAGCGAGAACGCGGTGGCCGAGTTGAGCACGCACAGAGCGAAAACGTTGCTCGCGAATGTCCTTCTGCGCCCTCAGGAATGTGGCACTAATATAACGCCATAGCAGTGAAGCTTGAGGGCTTTGTGACTCAAACGCTTTCTTGTTTTCTAGATCCCATGGACCAAGCTGAAGACCCATCCAATCTCCTTGGTAAGCATTCTGCCTCAAAGCCTCACATCCAGGGGTTAACACAAAAGAGAAACTTGCATGAGCTGTCTTTAATTTTTTTCCCTCTATTCTTCTCTCTCGCAGTCACTTGACAAAGTAGTCATGGAGATGAGCACATGTGATGAGCCCCGGCCGCCCAATGGGCCGTCTCCCATAGCAACAGCATCGGGTCAGAGGTCAGGAAACCTGTTGACCTTTCTGTACATAAGTCTATCTCCTCTGCTTGTATACCATTTGACATTATTTACCTGGACACTGTACACCTGGTGGGGGTAAGAATCATATCCAGTTGGTCCAGAAATATCCAGAAAACTTGCAGGAAGCTGTTGGGGGGGAGTCGTGATGGGGTGGCCATTAGACACAGTGCATTCTCTGTGCTTGAAACCTAGAGGTTCCCTCATTTCTGTGAGGGATCAAAAATGTGGACTGTCTAATATATGTTGTCACTGAGTGAATGGATGTCTGTGTCTGGTCCTACCTGTTTATGTCCAGGAATGACCCAGAATCACTGTCCTGAGTGTGTATGTATCTGTCCCTCATCAGTGAATATGGCTTCGCCGAAAAGGTGGTGGAGGGCATTTCTCTGTCCATCAACTCCATCGTGATCCGCATCAGCGCCAAGGCTTTCAATGCCTCCTTCGAGCTGTCGCAGCTGCAGGTCTACAGCGTGAACACCAGCTGGGTGACCAGCGACCTCAGGTTCACCCGCATCCAGGACCCACAGCGTGGAGAGGTCAGCACGCCTGGTCCTTTCCGCAGGAATGACGGCATGGGGACCTCTAGTGGGTCTGGTCATTATTGCAACATTGCCATTTGTGGTGGGGAGGATCGCCATAATCATGAGCAACAGGGCTATCAGCAAATTAGGGCGCCCCCTTTGTGGCTTGAGTTCTGTCAGTAGGTGCCATACATACATCTTCGGCCAAACCGGAAACCATGGTGGCCGGAAAAAACATGCCTGTACAGCGGGGGATCTGCCCAACTTCAGCCTTCTGTCCAACCCCAGATCCTGACCTTCAAAGAGATCAGCTGGCAGATGATCCGCATCGAGGCCGACGCCATCCAGAGCGGCGATGTGGAGGTGCTGAGCGCCCCCATCAGACTCATCACCAACCAGTCCAAGATCCGAGTCACGCTGAAGAGACGGGTGTGTGCAACCGCACGCATGCACCTGCACGCGGCCACACTTTAACACCCTGAGATGGATGCGGGTGTGGTTACGCTCTGCCTACAGCCAGAGAGCGACAAGCATCTTTAGAACATCTTGCTTGTTTTCATAAATGTCCCAGAGATTCATTATGGTCACCCCTCTGTCCCCCACTTGTGTTGCACTGTGTGCCTGCTGTTCCTTTCCTCTTTTAGAAATAGATAAATGGATGGCGATGGTGGTGCAGGAGGTAGTGCTACCGTTCGGCAACCGGAGGGTTGCAGGTTCGAGCCCCGGGTCCTCCTGTCCCCATCGAAGTGTCCTTGAGCAAGACACTGAACCCCAAATTGCTCCCGGTGAGCTGGTTGGTGCCTTGCATGGCAGCCTCCGCCACCGGTGGGTGAATGTGAGTATGGATGGTGAATGTGAGGCGTACATTGTAAAGCGCTTTGGTAAAAAGCGCTATATAAATGCAGTCCATTTACCATTTATGGTTTGTTGCCTTGCTGTTCACGAAGAAGTCATCCGGTCTTGTACTTCAAAGACCTTTGTGTGGTTCTGCATGTTGACTTAAGGTGACGATACTTAGGGCAACTGCGAAAAGTTGACCACAGCAAATAGAATTTTTTATTTTTTTTTTTGCTAGATGAAGGACTGCAACGTCGTGGCCTCCAAGTTGATCCTCATCTTGGACGACCTGCTGTGGGTTCTGACGGACTCGCAGCTCAAGGCCATGGTCCAGTACGCCAAGTCCCTCAGCGAGGCCATGGAGAAGTCGGCCCAGCAGAGGAAGAGCACAGCTTCGGAGTCCTCGCAGGTGGGGGCCGGCTCCCTGGAGCGTGACGCAGAGAGCTCCTGTTTCAGGCACCCGACTCTCAGACACTTCAGGTGTACAGTAGCTCCCACATCAAAGCGGCAGCCGCTATCTGCCTGGCTCTTTCGTGGATATGAAACCTCACCCCCCCTGCAGACACCTCATCGCTTAGTAATTTTATAGTTATTTATGTAGTCTTTACTTTTTTCCCCTGTTTTAGTTATTCAGCTGGTTTTGATTAATCCGTATTCTCACCATGAATATTGACTTGCTCCTGACATGACAGTAAGAGTCAATATGACTCATCACTTAGCAGAAGCTGTGTTGCTGTGCCTCTCCTCCCCCGCCCCACGCTCTCCATAATGTTATTGCCCCTCCGGGAATCTCCCCAGCTCCCTCTCCAGGGTCAGGCTGTGTCATCTATCTCATATTGGACATGCAGAAATGACTAGGCACACTTCCCTTGTCGCCCAGGGCGCAGCCTCTGTCGCCTCGTCGCAGCAGGTGCGGACGCAGCAGTCGACGGTGGCGGCAGACCAGAACGCCGCCATGGCCAAGCTCTTCAACGCCTACGACGTGCGTGAGACGTCCCACCACCTGCAGATCACCCACCTGGACCTGCACATCTGTGACGATGTCCACATTAAGGACAGAGGTAACAAGGTCTCCTCTCCGGTACTTGCATAGATTTCCGGCTATGGTTGTGTGTGTTTTTTTCCCCCACGATGCACTATGGATGCTGCCTCTTTGCCTCTGCAGTGATTGATAAACGCATCGCAGGTGGAGCCATGCAGTTGTCCTTCAGTCTCATCACCGTCGATTACTACCCCTTTCACAGAGCAGGTAAATGTCCCAGTGTTGCCATGGTGATGGGATACTGCAGTCATTTGACCTGCGGTGACTGTCCTCTTTCTCGATCGGGTCGTGTTTTCGCCCCCGTGACGGCCCCGGGCCTTATGCTCCGTATCATGTCAGACTCTGACTCAGACTCCACCCCCGGGGAGAACGCCAGGGCCCGGCTGAAGCTCCTCGCAGCAGCAGGTTGACCTCCTCCTCCTCCTTCCTCCTCCGCTTCCTCCTCCTCCTTCCTCCTCCTCTTCCTCCTGTCCGCACTGCTTGTGGGATGAGGGCACTGTGCTTTGGGCTGGGGTTGTCACTGAGTGACCGGGGAGCACACAGAATGATGCGGGATGTCACGGGGTCGAGTGGTTCGGCCATGGTGAGGTCGCTTTTAAGTGAGGTGCTGCATTTATAACATGCCCCCCTCCTACGACCTCCCCAGGAGAGACATGCCAGCACTGGATGCACTACGGCGAGGCGACCAAGGCGCGGGAGAGCTGGGCGCAGGCCCTGCTGGACGATTTCAAGGCCAATGTGGAGATGCTGAAGAACGCTGTGAAGGACCAGCAGAGTCTGGGCTCCCCCCCCCACGGCTCCCCTCAGCACGGTATGATATTGCTCCCGCAGATGCTGTTCTCCTTGATGGGGGCTAGGGTGCGGTGAAAATCCTGCCAGGTTTCCTGGCCGTCTGTGAACCTGAGGCCTGTGGGTTGCTCAGGGCTGGGGGCCGGGACGGTATTGTCTGTTAATACCCTTTCTGGTATGAGCATCAGGTGCTGTGCCGCTGATCATCTGAGGGGGGTGCTCTGAGGTGCTAGCTCTGTGCTAACTCTCCTGCAGGGAAGATCTCCACTACATCCACAAGTTCATTCACCCCCCCGGCCCAGATGCCCAAGGCAATGCTCATGTCCAGCTCCATCGTGCTTAGGATGGCTGACTTCAGCATCTACCAGGTACACGTGCACATGCTCACACACACACGCACACTCAGCTGGACTTTGCCCAGTTCTCCCGGCTGACTGCACTCCGCTGGCTTCAGGTTTCCACAGCCGAGCAGCGCCGATCCAGCCCCAAGACCATGATCTCCTGCAACAAGAAGTCCCTCTACCTGCCCCAGGAGATGCCTGCCATCCACGTGGAGTTCACAGAGTACTACTTCCCTGATGGCAAAGATTATCCCAGTAAGACAGATGCTCATGGGACTTTTACTTACAATAAAATGTTCTGAGGGCAGAAGGAAAATGATTGGTTTAGAAAGATAACTAATCAGTTTGTAGAGGGGGTTAAAAAGAGGTGGGTTAAACGAGCTCAAGGAGGCAGGACCAACCAATCAGATATCTTGGTCCCGCCTTCTCTACAATATGATTGGTTACCTCATCATTTTTCCTTTTGCCCTCAGAACATTTTTATTCAAGTAAAGCTCCCGTAAGACAGGTACGCGCTGCCCCTTTAAGATGCTCCTGTACTGGCTATTACAGGCAAAATGGAACGTGAATATTAGTGTGACAATGGCACCCCTCCCGCCCCCTCCCCCCTCCAGTTCCATGCCCCAACCTGTACGCACAGCTGAACGCCCTGCAGCTGGTCCTGGACACACGCAGCCTGGTCTGGTTAAACCAGTTTGCACTGGACCTGCAACAGAGCTTGGAGCAGTTTGTGCAGCTCTACAAGCTGGACGATTCGCAGAAGCCCGACGAGCACGTCGACGTCAAAGTGGATGGACTCATGCTGAAGGTGGGAGTCTGTGGGCCATCCGAGGGCCCCTGTACTGGGTACATAATTCTTGTAATATATGCTCATTGTACTTTTATATCCTGATCGGGCTGGGTGATTTGGACAAAATGTCATATCACAATATTTTTGGTTATTGATTATATATATATATTTTTTTTTGCAATTTTGCGATTTATTTTTTGTTTGTTTACAACCCAACCAAATTGGAATTTTGGGCATCTTCTTAGTCACTAAATTGAGATCCACTGAGACACCTCAAAACTGAGATAAAAGTATGTGAGAGTGAGTGACTAAAATTGCTACTTTTTTTAGTGATTATATTAATATTAATATATTGGTATTTAGTAACGCATTTGTAACTGGGCATTCATTTTAAGCTCAGCCTAGCCGCTCTAATGCCTAGTTGACATGCAGTTTCCTCTGGGATCAATAAAGTTTTCTGATTCTGATTCTGACTCCCCAGCAGAATGGCCTGTTAGTAATTTGTTATTTGCCTCACTTGTACGTCATTTTGGACAGTGGAAAAGTGCTAAATGAGAATAAAATTAAATGTTATGCTGAACTGCAATTCTCACGATAATTTTATAACGCTTAAATTCAGTACTCCTGAATTTACGTGTCTCCGCATGTCTGTAGCTGGTGGTCCCCATAGAGAAGGACACGTCAGGTTCTGCGGAGATGCCGGGCTCCGTGTCCATCCAGACGTCGGAGATGGTGGCAACGAACACGCGTCACGCTGCCGGCTGCAGCCGCTCCTGCCTCGAGTCACTGCTGCAGGACTTCCAGGGGGAGGAGTTTTTTGGCCGTGGCCACGCCTCCTTCCCCCACCCGGCCAATGCCTTCCACGTGCTGCATCCCGCCTTCTTGCGGCACGCGCACGAGCGCGACACATGGCTACACGACGTCTACCGGGGGCTGGCCCCGCCATCGCTAACCGGCCACTCCCTCAAGACGCCTGCCGCCGCCGACCTCTGGGCCCTGCGATTTGCCCAGTTCTGGGCCGACTTCGAGGGCCGCGGTGGTGGGCGTGGCAGACCGGTGCCATTCGTCGACTCCTTCCCGCTGGCCCTCTGGGTTTGCTACCCCGCCCGTTTCGCCCGCTACAAGGAGCAGCAGCAGCAGGCAGCGGTGGCCCCGGGGCCCCCTAAGGGCCTTGCGCGCAGTGAGTCCGTGGAGATGGCTGACCGCATGCACCGCAAGAGGCTGCTGAAGGAATATTATGGTGCCAATGGCATCCCGCCTGGCCCTTCACCCTCTTCCTCCTCCTCCTCCTCCTCCTCCTCATTGCCAGCTGACGCCGATGTCCATGTGCTGGTGCATGTGCAGAAGCACCTCAGTGCCCAGCTGAGCCACCCTCAGTACGTCTCCTTGCTTCGCCTCCTGCGCTCCTTCAAGTCGCTGCAGCAGACGCTGCAGCAGGACCGCAAGCTGGTGGATGCCCGGCGCCCCGACCGGCAGGACTGCGACCGCGCCAAGCCGCTCGACGTCTGCATGGGCTGGCTGCTGCAGAGCGCTGAGGTGGCCCTGCTGATGCAGCCCGTCCCAACCTCCTCTGACAGAGCCCCTTCAGACAATGCCAGCCCCCTGGGATCTGACCTGTCCCCCTCTGACGTGAAGGGCTCCTGTGCCCCGGGGGCGGAAGAGCCTCCGCCCTCTGCTGACGAGCTGCTGTGCTGCGGCCCGAGTGAGGGCGAGAAACCCCTGCAAGGCCCCTCTCCCCTCCAGCCCCTGAAGGTGCCCCCTGACGGTGAGGAGGGGAATGAGGCTGCTGGACCAGGCGAGAAGCGGGACTCAGATAGCCTGCCGGAGCCCCCGGCCTCGGAGGACGCAGCTGCCGATGCGGAGCAGCTCCCCAGAGCCGAGCGACCCGCCCCGAGGGAGGGGACAGAGAGCAGAGACCGGCCGCCGGGGGCCCGGCTGCCCCAGTCCGTGTCCAGGTAAAGCCGCTCCCTTGCACAACACTCTGAATGGTTGCTATATGTTACTTACTGGTCAGCTTGGCTACTGGGTGTGAGACCTCACTGCCCTCGGCTTGGGGGTTTCGCAGCCACAGCCTGCTCTGATTTTGTTCTTGACTCGTGCGGTTTCACCTAAAAACGTCCCCTCGTGTACATGCCTGTATGTACGCGGTGCCTTTTGGTCGCAGGAAGTTTCTCACGCTTTAGAACCGCAGAATCGGGAACTTAAAAACCCTGCAGATGTCCTAATAGCATTAAAGCTAGGGTTTCTCACGGGTGGTGCATGCATGCGTGCGTGCGTGTGTGTGCATGTGTGTGTGCTTGCACACATCTTCTACCCTTCTAACCCTAACCCTAACCCTAACCCTCTTCAAAGGAAAGGAAGTTTGTCAGTGGTGTCTGACTTGCTGAGCTGCGCAAACCCCAGGTCCACGTCGCTCTATTCCATGTCCAACATGTAAGCACCCCTTAGCCAGGCTCGCCCTGGTCATCTGTGCTCATCTGTGGTCCCCAGTGCTGCTAGTCTGTGGAAATCTCTGGTTAGTCTGTGGAAATATATAGTTTTAGCCTGTCGTGATTCTTGGTCATTGGTGGTGATTCTTGGTAAGTCGTTTCATAGGTTTGCGCAGTTCGGGATTCACTTGCTGTGCTTGTGCCCACGCTTAACCTTTGCACGCTCGTACAAATAGATCAGTCTGTATAGTCAGTCATACAGAAATTTATATAATCAGTAACTTGTGGCTTGCACACACGTTTTAAGAGATGACATCGTCCTCGTGACCTTTTGATGTTTTGTTTGTTGTGGGCTTTGTTGTAGTTTGTCGTCTGATTACTCCTCTCCTGGTCTCTGTGGCGCCCGCAGCGGGCGGCTCATCCGGGACCGATCCCAGTCCAGCTTCTCCGTCTCCTACAAGAACATGAAGAAGAGCCCCTCACTGCACTCCTTGGACAACGTCTCCATCGACAGCTACCAGCTGGAGGAGCAGGGCCTGGAGGACAGCGATTCGTACAGCCTTTTGGACCGAGGTATCCTGGCTCTCCTGCGCAAGCTGTCTCTCGGTTATGCCCACGAGCATCCGTGAATATGCACGAGAGCATGCTCAGGTCCTCGTGTATGGCCTGAATGTTTCCTGTGTACTTTGGCACAAGCTATCTGTGTGTGTGTGTGTGAGATTGACCAAGGTTGCCACTAGGTGGCAGTAAAGCCATGTCGGTATGTTGGGAGATCACGATGCCTGAGTCACAGGGCTGGAATCCGGAGCGGGCAAGGTGTCAGCTAGCAGAGAACCTGGTGACGTGGCTTCAACTTTGAAGGACACCACGATTATTCAGCCCTCATGTTTATCAGCCATTATCTTTATATACTAATATAATAATAAAGTAACTTTTAAATGCTACTACAGTTACATAGCAGACACTTTTACCCAAAGAGGCATTTTGAGAGAGCAGGGTCATACATTCCCCCAATTGGGGGTTAAGGGCCTCGCTCAGCGACCCAATGGTGACATCACTCTGCCGACCCTGGGATTTGATTTGCCGACCTTCTGATCATAAGCAGAGTGGTCCTAACTGACTGAACTATATACCACCCACAACTGCCATATTCCAGAAGATTCCTGATAGTCATGTTTTTGGTATCTGGGGAGGAAAAAAAAAAAAACATGATTCAAACAAAATTGCTGTTTTATCGGAATTCATCCATCTGTTTCCCAGTTGCCTATTTCACTGGGAGACCTTCACATGCAGTGTGGAGTGGAGGCAGTATTTGAACCCCCAGCTGTGGGTGGGTGGGACAGCAGGGATGGCCTGGTTTAGCCAAAAGATTGCTAAAAATAGAGTTCATGATATATTAACAAAATGTTGCAGAGGTGAGGTTCCCGTGGGCTGTATTTTGGACCCGGCATAGTACTACGTCGTTTAATATTAAAAATGGGTCTCGGAACAACAAGGTCCACGGCCGCCTTGCTGGTTTTCCTGCGTCCCTGTAGATCCGGCCTGTGTCTGGCTTTGCCGGCCGGGGGCTGACGCGGAGTCTCACTCTGTCTGCCCGTCTGTCTGCTTCCCCAGAAGGCGCCGGGGACGATACGTCCATAACTGGCTTCAAGGACACGCTGAGCGACCAGAGCGGGGCGGAGAGCGCCAATGAGGCCCTCAGCCATGACGTGACCATGTCGCCAGATGCCGTCAGCGCCACCTCGCAGAGCACCGATGACCCCGCCAGGGACCTGGTAACAGCCGGCCCCCCGGCCCCCCGGCCCCCCGGCCCCCCGGCTCGCGTTTTCCTACTCGCTGCAGCCCCACTTTTAATCCTGTACCTTCATATCCCAAAGCTGTTTCCTTAATAACGATGGTGTCTTGATTATCTGCCAGCGTTCGTATCCAGAACATAAAATTAGTTGTCCTGCTGAAACAGTGTTGGCTGAACCCGTTTTTGGACCCTAAGCAAAATTTGAGTAACCTAATTATTCGTCATCCAGCCCATTCTGAGAAGCTGATCAGGTGGGGTTCTGCTGGCCTCTGGACCCTAAGCTGCTGCTCAGTTTGCTTGTGCCTCGTGCCAACACTTTGTTTAAGCATATAATGGCACAGCCTTTTAGCATACGGGTCTCCATCCCAGTCGTGTCGTCCGTCGAGGTACCCCTTATGGTGACTGGGCACCCCCTCCGGTCCCCCCAGGTGTCGGTGCTGGTGCTGAAGCTTCAGTCCCTGTGTGGCGCCCTGGACGTGCAAGGGGAGAGCACAACCGTGTCGCTGGAGCTGGGCCAGGTGCTGCCCGTCCAGGTGGGCAACGTCAGCGTGCGCCAGTACCTCAGCAACCGGAGCCTGGGTAAGACGTCTGATTTGTGGCAGTACTCACGATGCTCATGGGAGGGGGGGGGGGATCATGAAGAGGTTTTCGTCTGGCCTGGCTGCTGATACCAGGTCAGTCTCACGCCATTTAGAGCACTGGGTTGGTAGTCCACTGGTTTAGCCTTATAACCCAAGTATTTCTTGGTCAGTAAGCCTATGGCTGTGCGATAACACATCGCGATTATGGCACAAGTGCAATAATCACCAAGGCTTTAGATAACAGGCGAAACATTTGTCCGGATGCCGGCTTTTCAGTAATCTACAGACGTCTACATGTGGCCACTGTTTCGTAAGCGAATTAGTACCATACATAAAATATTGATGAGAGGCGTATTGTGACTCCCATAAGTTAGTAATCTGTATAAATTCGGGGTATCTTTGCTTATTAAATTTGGTTAGCAGAGCACGCCACGTGATACTGTTTTGGTAAATCATGGGAAGCGATAAGCACTAATGTGGCGGTGAAGAAAGAAAGAGCCCAGCAGTCACATCTTCTGAAAGAGGAGATACTGTGCATGAACCAGATCAGAAGATGCTGGTGCTGTGGAGGTTCTGTTTGCAGTTTAAAGCCCTAAACATAAGGATACGCCAAATTTATACAGATTACTAAAATTTTGGCTTTTCATTATGCCTCTCATTAGTATTTTAGGGGTACTAATTTGTTTTCCAAGTAGTGGCCGTAAATAAACATCCATAGAGTACCAAAAAACCAGCATCCAGACAAATGTTGACACCCGTCATCTAAAACCACGGTGATTATTGGACGTGCCTCATATACCACACTATAACGCGCACTGCATTATAACGCGCACTGCACTATAACGCGCACTGCATTATAACGCGCACTGCATTATAACGCGCACTGCATTATAAGGCGCACCGTCAATCAGTGGTCTATTTTCAAACTTTTTCCACATACAAGGCGCACCGGACTTTAAGGCGCTTTAAGCAAAACAAAACAGTCAGATAAGCCAGTCAACCAAAATTTATTTTACATCACGTGTTCACAATGACTGTCAACATTGTTCAAACGTTTATGAGCGTCTTCACTACTCTTTAACACGTAAAAAAACAAGAGTCTTATACCGCTAAATCAAAAGTCAGCCTATTAACAATAACTCACAATTGAACACTTATAATACGGTCCTATACCGCTAAATCAAAAGTCAGCGTATTCATAATAACTCTTGAAATTGTTAATTTATAACACGTGAAGCACTACACAATGCACTCACTTTTCAATACTAAAACATTCAAATCGCTTCGAGTTCAGTATGCACAACAGAAATTAATCCACGTTTAAAGCGCACTGGATTATAAGACGCACTGTTATTTTTTAAGAAAATCAAAGGCTTTTTAGTGCGCCTTATAGCGCAGAAAATACGGTAATCATGATGTGATATTGTGCTGCTCTAGCCACAACACAAATTCCTGGTGAAAGTTGTCGACCGGGTTGTGTAGTGGTGACAAAAAACGGCCCTGAACGCAGCCATATTCTCCCCCATCTCGCTGGACAGGCCTGAACGCAGCCATATTCTCCCCCATCTCGCTGGACAGGCCTGAACGCAGCCATATTTTCCCCCATCTCTCCCTTTCTTGCACCAGGGCTGGTTGTATTTAAATTACTCTGCCTGATTTGCAAATTTGTATTGGCAGCTTTTGTATCCTGTCTTGTGAACACACACAGACAGCAGTAAAATTCAGTTTTTACTAAGGGGACTAATAATCCCCCTTCTTTTGACTCAATGGGATACATCTGGCCCGCAACTGTCGTCATCCTTGAGTGGGTGAGTGGGTGAGTGGGTGGGTGGGTGGGTGAGTGAGTGAGTGGGTGGGTGAGTGAGTGAGTGAGTGGATGAGTGAGTGAGTGTCCTTCCCCACCTGTAGTCAGGCCTTCGTAAACATCAGCAGCTGTGAGTCACATGATCCAGATCAGGCAGCCCTTTACCCAACAGGACTGGGGTAAGTATGAGTGAGGAGAGAGGGTCACTGACTGGTGTCGCTCTGATGCCAGGGGCGGGGCCGACGGTGACCCCAGCGGCCAGGAAGTCACGGCCAGAGGTGCAGGTGAAGCTGGAGAGCGGCCTGAGCGCGGCGACTCACTCCCCGCTGGCTGCGCACAATGGCTTCCTGCAGGCAGGCCTGCAGGAACTGAGTGCTGACTTCCTCACATCCTCCCTGCGCAGCCTGGCCCGCTTCCTGGTGGACGACAACTCCACCGGTCAGGTCCTGCCGATGCGGATCAGCATCTCCAACACGCGAGTCAACCTGCAGGTGAGGGGGGTGGGGGAGGATACGCCATGGCCGGGGGGACCCATCTCCAGATGTTCTGGCTGCGTTTTAACTCGGTGGGGGGGACTTCTTGTGGATCTGATGAAGGACACACCTGGACAGGACCCAGGTCTGCAAGGAGGCATTGTGGAGCTTCTCTGGAACCTCATTGGACGGGAGGGTTTTTTATCTCTCTGATTGGCCCGTTTGTCTGCACAGGACGACAGTCCCCGCGATGGTGTCTCTGATGCCGAATCCAAGCCCGTCGTGCTGCACATCGATAACCTGCTGATCCACCGGAGAGACGACGGCTCCTTCTCCATCGGAGGTGAGCCCAGTGCGTCCAAAAATATCCTTAAAACCTGCCTGTAGCGTAACTCTTCACCTTGGTGTCCCTCTGTCTCCATGGTAGGGGACCAGCCTTCAGGGGCGGGGCTTAAAAGCGGCGTCCACGTGGACGGCGGGAGCCTGCGCGGCCTCGCCGAGGCCGTTGCCGGGGTGGCCGCGGCATCCCGAGGTACACAGACCGCCCCGCCGCTCACGGGGGAAGCTGACGGCGGCGGCAGCAAAGAGCAGGTAAGCGCTGCTGGTCCTGTAGCTGTAGGTGGCGCTCAGCGGGCCACGGGGGGCAGGGATGAATGAGAGGTGCTCATTCTGCAGGGTCAACAGTCTGAAACCGCAGTGTTCGGGGGGGAAATGTCAAGATGCACTGCGCGCCATATGCAGTGCTGGCGCCATATGCAGTGCTCTCGGCCGTTTAGCCGTGTTATTTTCTCAGCAATACAACCGAAGGCGCCCTTATGGGCCCACAGTGGCCGTGCCCCCTTCCTGACACTCTACCCCCCCCCCCGCAGCTGCTGCAGGAGGAGAATGATTGCTTGAAACTGGAGCTCTCCAGAGCCAAGATGGCACTGGCCGAAGCTCAGATGGAGAAGGACTCGCTGCTTCACCGCATGAAAGCTTTGAAACTGACGACCGGGGACAACAGCTAATCGTGGTGCCGGGGCAGGGAGGGCCGTCGGGCCAGGCGTGGTGACAGATGCTGCCGCTGTGGCCCCCTGCTGGACCCCTAAGGCCACAGCACATCTCTGGTGCTTTTGTGTGGTAGTTCGGCCTGTTTTCTGTCCCACACTGCCTCCCTGCGCTGTCCCAGGAGCCTCTGTGTGATGAAGAGGCAGCGTTTCTCTTGCGTACACACACACAAACACACACACCCCCCTTCAGCTACGTCAGTGTTTGACTTTTCTGACCGTCTTAGCAAAGCTGCTACTGCCTCCTGCTGGTGAATCAGCTGCAGGATGGCGTTCCACACGTCTGAGTTGCAGTGGGTGGGGGTGGTTGGGGGGGGGTAGGGGTAGCGAACTCCTGACTTTTGGGAAAAGAAGACAGGGTCCCTCTACCCGTAGCACATAGGATGACAAAGGGGTTGGGGGTGGGGAAAAATGTCACATTGCTCACATGCCTTTGAAGGAATGTCACAAAGGAGACGATTTGCACTGTACTGAAATACATCATGTTCTTAATACTTTTAAAATAATGACAGATAGCAGTTTAGCTCTTAAATTGTTCTAGATAGATACGTTGTAGTTTGATGAGAAACTTGTGTGCAGAATGTCTGTTTTTTTCTAAAGATTTCTGATTACAGGAGTGTGGGGGGGTCGCAGCGTCAGCCGCCACGCAGCTCTGCCAGACGCCGTGTTACGTTCTTATGCGTATGCTTTCGTTTTCACATACAGCACACGCGTACGTACATGCCGGTTTCCTGTTAGAGCGTTTTAGTAAAATATCTATACTAATTCCAGATTTGCACTTTAAGAACAAATAAAACTGAGCCGCAGGGAACACTAACGTGCTGAGAGCTGGCCGTCCAATGAGGGGAGGGAATTCGGGTGGCATGATGACCTCAGAAGGGTGGGGGGGGGCGGTATACACTCAACAGCATCTTCCCGTTATGTTGTGCCCAGCTCGAGTCTGACACCCACCTTGTTGAACCATACTATGGCAGTGAAAGGGCCAGTCTGCTATTCACACTACGACAGCGGGACGGAAGGATTGAAAGCCCTTGAAACTGAATCTCCCCTTATCCATTCTAAAAAAAACTGGTTTTTTTTTGTGTAATGCAAAGGAAGCTGCCTGATGGGCCTCAACCAAGGCTTCTTAAGTGCCTCCCTCTCTAGAACCTTGATGGAGAACCTGGAACGGTGTCTTGCAGCAGGGAACCCGGGGCGTAAGTCTGTCTTGAACGGTGCTGGAAGATTTGGCGCAGCATCCCTCTATAGAGCCGTAATGGATGAGCAGGCGCTGTCTCTCCCTGTTGAGTTGCAATGTAGAAGCTGGCAAACTGTGCCACTGTAGAGCCAAAATGGAGGACTGCGGGCCATCTGTGTCTGTTTAGTCGCGATGGGGGGATCTGCCACCGAGTCGTGTTATAAAGCACCAATGGAGGATTTGGCACAGAGATTCCTTTTCTGCTGAGGGCCTGAATGTGCTGCAAAGAAAGCCCAACCAAGCTTGATTTACAGTATTCTTTTTAAATAGAATCCAGACCGACTTCTAAAAGCATGGACGACCTGAAGTGGCAGGGAAGGATAAAACACTACAATTGCATAAAGACTGAGGGAGGAGTTTGTTCCCGTTTCCTGTGATTATAGCCACTCCCCATAATCATAATGTTGTTCTGTTTGTTACCTCTAGGCAGTGGGATAATCACACGTTGCAAAAATAATGTAATATTTTGTCTGTTAAAACTGCAGAATCTTGTAAAAATAAAAGGCTATCCAATCTGGTTTTTTAATTTCTGTTTTTCCTCTGCAATTCAAATGCGTTTAACCATCCACAGCCAGGAAGACCTGCGGAGCCTGCCCCTTGGATCAGTCAATTAGGCTCTCTTGCGCCCCCTGTCTGTTGGAATGCAATGCTTAGATGGGTAATTTGGTGCAGTATCATCTACAAACTGGTCATGGCTTTGTGCTGTTCAGCCTCTAAGATGCTAAAGATTGGCATATCTGTTTATTAAGGCTGTTCAAACACTTTTCTGCTTTGCTCATTGCTTTTCAGTTTACGGCAGAGCACTGTCACAATGGCAGGAAGCTTTCTGTTTTTTTTGGGTACTTCACTTGATCCTCCATAACCTTGATGCACCTTGATGCTGGGTGATTCTGCATCGCTTGAAAGCCTGCGTCCCGCTGGTTCGCGTAACGGCTCCGTTTTTAATTTCCCCCAGTTTGCAGGATGTCTGTCTGTGTTCCTGACGGCACAGGCTGGCTGTGACACTCTTAATTCAAGCCCCCCCCCCAGCACACAGATGGGAAAAGTCAGCTGTTGTCAGACAGCCAAATTTGGTCCTGTGACCTGGGAGAGCCTTTGTGGAAATGTGTGTCTGTATGAGAGAGGCAGTACATCTGCGCTGTATAGGAGTTTTACTCTTGGACAGAAATCCTGCATTTATAATGAATTTCAGGGAGCAGACAGCCTTGGGGCTACCCCCTGTGGGCTTGGAGGACGCTGATCCAGGGGGCATGTCTTGGCTTGGTGTTCTCATGGTGACAGTTCTGACACGGCCTCCCGCGTGCCTTCTGCGCTGGCTCTGTGTCTCGGGGATGCCTTTGAATATGGACGGTGTGCATTGCTGTGTTGAAATCAGCTCGGGGGATTTCGGTTTCAGGCACTTCCTGTTAGTCACCGAGAACATCTGGTGGTAAGTCCAGTGGGTCAGCTACACTCCTCTGCTCTCCCTCTTCTGTTGTGTGTTTATCTGGTCTTGAGCTCAATTTTGAAGGTGCAGGCCAATGCAAACCGAGTGGCTCTATACCTGACCTCTGCTGCAGAGACCCAGCTTGATGTAATCACTTCCTGTGTTTAATAAACAAACACCAAGCTTTTTAATGTGACCGCTTATGGGCAAAGAAGTATCTGTATCCCAAGAGTGTCCTTATAAATTGCTGACTCCACCCCCCCCCCCCCCCCCTTCCCACCAAGGCACACATTTTGCTTCCCAGCTTGCTAAAATCTTCATGCGTTAATGTTTAACCTCTGAATGTGCATTTTGTCCACCTCCAGGGTCTAGATCCCATAAGCAAAGAAATAAAGATCCTTCCTTTCACCACACATTCTGCAGCACCTCCTGGTCTGCGGCAGTTCACTGCCTGTGTGCTGCTTTATGTTATTTCTGTATAAATAAAATAATTCTGTCATTCACCCATCATGAGTGGGACTGCACAGGAGGCCGGTGCATTGCACAAATGTCCTGCATATGTTTTTTATTCCTGCACATGGGGGTGGGGGCGTTCAGTAAGATTAATCCTGCATGTGTGTAAGGGGCAGAGAATTATGCTTTCCCAATGGTACCCCAGGCTTCTTTCTCCCTTAGAACAGTTGGTTAAACACAAATGAATTGGCCTATCAAAACTCATTTTACAGCACTGAATTTTAAAATGAGCAGCATATCTTATTCCAGCGGGAAAAAACTCGCCAAAATATGTACCTTGTTTAAACCTTTTTTCAAAATAACCTTGTTTTGATACACGGCAGCCGTAGAATTTAAATAATATAAAAAGGTATGCTACTGTTCTGTTGGAGTATTACAATACCAGCGCCAACAATAGGTTTCTCCTCTCTCTGGAGCTGCTAAGGTATCCACGCCCATGCTGTATTTCGTTCCCGAGAGCGTGCCGCGAAAGAGGCTGTGCGTGGCGCTGTGAGGCTACGGGAGAGAGAGAGCGAGAGTGAGAGAGAGAGGCAGAGGAGGACCTGGGACGCGAAGTCTCGCAGGCAACGCAGAGCCACACGGCCGGAGTGAGAGCGAATGCGGGCTGGAGTGCGTGTGTCTGAGAGGAGTGATTGTAGTGGAGAGGACGCGCGAGCAAGGAGCAGTACGGTTGACGGTCCGATAGTGCGCTGTATCCAGGCAACCGGCCCTCGGACGGCTCGCGCTCACCCGAGTCAGCCGAGCCACCGCCGTGCTAAACCCGCTATTTACGGCGCATCATTCTGTGAACCAGAAGCGAGGATTTCTCGCTTTGCAGCGGAGCTGCCGGTGGAAGTCCGCTTGTTTTCGAGGGACGTCGCTTTGCCGTAGAGAGTAAATATAGAATGGTGTGTGATACAATGAGACAGTGAGAGGATACATTTTTCTTCTGTCTTTACCCACCGGGGATTGGATATATCTGTTAATTTACTTCGTCAGCATGGGAAAGGAGCAAGAACTACTGGAAGCGGCGCGGACCGGGAACGTAACCCTAGTGGAAAAATTACTGAGTGGCAAAAAAGGATTGCTGGGCACCGCATCTGGATCTATACCGCTGCCGAGTTTACTGAGGTATGTAAACAACACACTCCGGTGTTATGTATCGCGCTGCCCCGGTTTGGTTCTTCGCTGGTGACGAAGAGAGGCTCTATTGTACTGAAGCCCAACTTGTTTTGCAGTCGAGTCCGTTGAACGGTCATGCGGACCGGCGCATTCCGTGGCGCGAGCGGTTGACCCAGGTGCGAGGAGATGCAACGCGTGGCCGTGACAGCAAGCTCCGCCCATAAAGGGGGGGGGGGGGCGGTGGTCCCGGAAGGCCATCGCGGCTCGGCCGCCCTTGCGAGCTCCTGGTGGATTGGCATCGGTGCAGTTCGTACACGCCTACGGACTCGTGCACCGATTGCATCCAGAAGTTAAACTTTTAAAATCCCTAACTGCCATTGTTTATATGTATAAACTAAGGCAGAATAAAGAAGTAATAGCCTACTAACAGTTTCAGTACACTAGCAGCAGTACATGGTAAGTTTGTTTAAAAAAAAAACCTCCTTACTGTGATAAACAGTAAATGTAACATACTATAGGCGAATCTGGCATTTCTCCCAAGGGGTACAAAATGACAGAGCCCAACCAGTCATTCAGTCAGATAAATAAATTAAAAAATAGTACATACATTTACAATAAATTAATGCACATTGATATAATTCACACAAGCCACATTTTCAAATATAAATGAATTTTATTTAACATAATATGTTGAAATATCATTTTCATCTGACGAGTAGGAGGTGCAATTGCACCCACTGCACCGCCGTTAAAATCGCATATGTTACGTATAATTAAAAAGTAGGTATACGCTTCTTTAATTCAGATTCGAGACTATAAGTTTAAATCGCAGACAATTTAAACACCCCCCTCTCCACGCTGGGAATGGACGATCCAGACATTCCCTCGCAGCCCCAGGTAGGTTGTTTAAAAGGTGTGAATATAAGGAGAATGAAGAAAACTGGCAGAGCGCAAATGCACAGGCAGCCCAGCACGGAACCTGGCAGCTGAAGATTGCAGCAGCGCGAGGAGGTGATTCGCTTTCCGGCATTGGACTGGGATGGGGGAGGGGGAGACATGCACGCCGGCGTGTGTGAGTGCGCGGATGCCGCAGGCAGTGTTGCTTGGGAGCTGCAGGGAGCGATATGCAGCTTTACCAAGATATACTTTTACACATTTTTCCAACCTTCTGATTTTTTTTTTGGCCTGTACCTATTGGCACGTGTCAGCTAAGCAAAAGGCAGTTAGCCTAATGGCATCGGACCTGAAAGTTTCACGTTCATATCCCAGAAGTGAATCCTCAGTCGTAGCCTAGTGCTTGCACTTAATTTAGGGGCAGTACAAAACTACATAGGAAAAAAAATGCTCAAATTGCTCTGTTATATATTACATTTGTTTACTATTGACAGGTGGCATCTTCCTCGACCTTTATGGGCTTAAACAGTCCCTGCAATGGTCACGCAAGGGATTCCAAGAGAAGCCAAAGTCCAGCTGTTTCATCCTGCTGTTTGTCACTCAGTGTTGAAAACTCCTCAACTGAGACATCCTTTCCTTTATGCAGTGTATCTATGCAAGAGAAGCAAGTGTGGAGAAAACACAGGAAGGCACAAAGCTCTCAGTCAATCAACGTTGAATTGTCAGTAATTAATTCATGCTTTGCATGTATTAGTTAAGAATCCAATCCCCCTGAATATTTCTGTACTCTGTGACAGCGCAGAAGGTGTGATGACAGATATGATGACTGGAGGGCTTCTCCCTGAAACACTGCTTTTTTTGTGGCAGTCAGCGAATCTTGCTTCGTGACACCCTGACTGCATGGTATCACCCATCCAGCGGAGGGCAGTAGAGTTGTCATCGCTGTCTCTAAACAGTCGCGGTGGTGATAGTGAACAGGTTGTCCTGAGCTGTGCGGGGGCTTTCACGTTCTGTCCACGTCTGTTTAAGTTGGCGGTGAGCAGCGGGGAGAGTCTCGCTGCTGTTTATTTTCAAACGGGCGCAGTTGCTTATGTTAGGCCGTGCAGCTCCTTGGTGACTTTGCGTGTTACTGTGTACCTCACTGTTTATCGCGTCCCTGGGGTGACATTTGGATGCTTGGTGTCTGATGTTTTTTTCCCCCCCATTTTCTTCTGCCTACATGCTCTCTCACGGCACCCTAGTGGTGGAAATTAGAAACTACCACCCCTCCCCCCACGTGTGTCCACACATTTTAATCTTATGTGCTGGGTCCTTGTGTCATTCGTGCTGGCAGTCTGACTGTGGCAGACTGTGGGATACTGGGGGACTTTCTCTATGTGTGCTGGGTATTATACCCGCCTGTGATGTGTGTGTTTTATATACCTATAGAGTAGTAGTGGATTTAGACAGTTAAATGGGCGGGATGATAACGTGAGTTATGTAAAGCTGCAGGAACTGTCCATATTATTGTTATCTTTTTTGGAGAGGGGCCTGACATGTTAAGTGTTGTGGTTTGTGAAGATGTTCTCATGGAGATTCAAACAGCAAATGTTAGACCAAAAGTGTGCTCTTATGCTCCTTTAGGGCCATGATACTCGGTGTGCATATTTAATGGGGCAGTGTACTGATACCTGATCTGTTGATGTGCTTTTGGAGCAGTGGATTCACCTTGCGATGCATATCACTGAGGCCCTAACAGAAGTGCTCTGTCCCTGTCTCGGGCATGTCGCTGGAGCTCCAGCGCAGAACAGCGTCACATAAATTAATCTCCTACTGGTGCATTTCATGTCTAGGGCTCTTCTCCAGGCCTGCAGATAAGACATCGGAATTTTTTTTTTAGTGACCGCGCCAAAACCTTACAGCTCCTTTTCATAAACATGCTCACAGCCTTTACCATAACTGGAGTCTGTGGGATGCGGTATTCCGGAACACAGTGCCTCCAGGACGGGCTTCTGCTGATCTGTTCCTGGAATCACATCCCAGATATTTTGAAGCGATTGATTTTTGAGCGTTTGAATATGGAGTCAGTAGATGGTTCTGTTTAGCTCTTCCTGAGATGTGTGTGTGCCAAGCGTTCCACGCCTCCAGTTTCGCCTGTGGACACTTTTTGGGGCCGCTGCGATTTGTAATTAAACACTCTTTCTGCACTCTAGTGATCCAGTAGGGAAGGTGATTGAACCCTAGGACTTTTGCTTACACCCCAATTAGGGTGGTGGCCAAACTGTTTGGCTCACGCTGCCAAGTTTCTTGGAGACAGATGCCAAAGGCTGGGCTACCTCTCTGCTAGCACACTCGCACCAACACAAACTCAAATCGTCACGTGACATCAGCAGATTGATGGTGCCGGAAAGCCCACGTGGCACTGTATGTTATGCTGTCTATGCGCCTACTTTATTTGGGTGTTAATATAATGGTTTGAACACTGTATGAATTCTTTCTTATCTCACCATGAGAGTGTTGACTCAGCTCTAACTCATCGTTATCTGCCAGTGGTTTCTCAGTGCGGTGAAGGTCCCCTTCGACACATGAAGTGGTGGCACGTTTTGGACTCCATGGGGGTGTCAGCACAGTGCTTTGTTGTGTCGTCAAGTGAGAAATTCTAGGCATCCTGTAAATCTGTATGTGCCCCCCTCCCCAGTGTCAGCCCACAGCTCGAAAGGCTCAGCAACACTAACCAGCTTCGTTCTCTCAGTAGGGCAGGGCCCTGGAGACTGGGCTTGACTGTTCAGGTAAACGTCAATAATACTCACCCCTTATCCATCTGATCATGTGGCTGTTCTGAGTGTGACTCAGTAGCTCCTCCTACTTATTCTGATAGACACGCCTCCTTTGTCCATCCGATCATGTGGCTGTTCTGAGTGTGACTCAGTAGCTCCTCCTACTTATTCTGATAGACACGCCTCCTTTGTCCATCCGATCATGTGGCTGTTCTGAGTGTGACTCAGTAGCTCCTCCTACTTATTCTGATAGA